ATGATAAAAGGCCTTGTTCAACAGGAAAATATCACAATCCTAAATATATATGCACCTAACACTGGAGCTCCAAAATTTATAAAACAATTACTAATAGACCTAAGAAATGAGATAGATAGCAACACATTAATAGCTTCAGTACTCCACTGACAGCACTAGACAGGTCATTGAGACAGAAAGTCAACAAAGAAACAATAGATTTAAACTATACCCTGGAACAAATATACTTAACGGATATTTACAGAACATTCTACTTAACAACTGCAGAATATACATTCTATTCATAAGCACATGAAGCATTCTCCAAGATAGACCATAAGATAGGCCACAAAACAAGTCTCAATAACTTTAATAAAATCAAAATTATATCATGTACTATTTCAGGCCAGAATGGAATAAAATTGGAAATCAACTCCAGAAGGAACCCTCAGAACCATGAAAAACATGGAAATTAAATAACCTGCTCCTGAATGATCATTGAGTCAACAATGAAATAAAGATGGAAATTAAAAAATTCTTTTGAACTGAATGATAATAGTGACACAACCTATTAAAACTGGCATACAGCAAAAGTTGTGCTAAGAGGAAAGTTCATAGCATTAAATGCCTGCATCAAGAAGTCTGAAAGAGCACAAAAGTAAAACAAACCACCCAAACTCATCAGATGAAAAGAATAACAAAGATCAGAACAAAACTAAATGAAGTTAAAAAAAAATGTACAAAAGGTAAATGAAACAAAAACCTGGTGCTTTGAAAAGATAAATAAAATTGACAGACCATCAGTGAAATTAACCAAGAAAAGAAGAGAGAAGATCCAAATAAGCTCAATTAGATAGAAAATAACAGATATTACAACCAATTCCACAGAAATACAAAAGATCATTCAAGGCTACTATGAACACCTGTATGCACACAAACTAGAAAACCTAGAGGAGACAGATAAATCCTGGAAATATACAGCCCTCCTAGATTAAACCAAGAAGATACAGAAACTCTGAACAGACCAATAACAAGCAGTAAGACTGAAATGGTAAATAAAGGGCTGGGCACAGTGGCTCACACCTGTAATCCCAGCACTTTGGAAGGCTGAGGTGGGCAGATCACTTGAGGTCAGGAGTTCAAGACCAGCCTGGCCAACATGATGAAAGTCTGACTCTACTAAAAATACAAAAAAAATTAGCCAGGCTTGGTGATGCATGCCTGTAGTTCCAGCTACTTGGGATGCTGAGGCAGGAGAATCACCTGAACCCAGGAGGCAGAGGTTGCAATGAGCTGAGATCATGCCATTGCACTCCAGCCTGGGCAACAGAGCGAGACTCCATCTAAAAAAAAAGAAAGAAAGAAAAAGAAATGGTAATTTTAAAACTGCCAACAAAAAATCCAGGACCAGATGGATTCACAGCTGAATTCTATCAGATATTCAAAGAACTGGTTGGGTGTGGTGACTCACACCTGTAACCCCAGCACCTTGGGAGGCCAGGGAGGGCAGATCACTTGAGGTCAAGACCAGCCTGGACAACATGGCAAAACCCCATTTCTACTAAAAATACAAAAATCAGCTGGGCATGGTGGTACATGCCTGTAATTCCAGCTACTCAGGAGGCTGAGGGACAAGAATCCCTTGAACCTGGGAGGTGGAGGTTTCAGTGAGCTGAGATCATGTCACTGTACTCCAGCCTGGGCAAGAGAATGAGACTCTGCTTCAAAAAGGAAAAAATAAAAAGTCATTCAAAGAAGAATTGGTCCCAATCCTACTAACACTATTCCAAAAGACAGAGAAAGAGGGAGTCCTCCCTAAATCATTCTATGAAGCCAGTATCATGCAAATACCAAAACCAAGAAAGGACATAACAAAAAAAGAAAACTACAGACCAATATCCCTGATGAACATATATGTAAAAATCCTCAACAAAATACTAGTGAACCAAATCCAACAGCATATAAAAATGATAATCCACCATGGTCAAGTGGGTTTCATATCAGGGATGCAGGTATGGTTTAACATACACAAGTCAATAAATATGATATATCACATACATAGAATTAAAAACAAAAATCACATAATCATCTCAATAGATGCAGAAGCATTTGACAAAATCCAGCAACCCTTTATGATTAAAACCCTCAGCAAAACTGGCATAGAAGAGACATACCTTAAGATAATAAAAGCATCTATGACAAACTCACGGCCAACATTATATTGAATGGAGAAAAGTTGAAAGCATTCCTCCTGAGAACTGGGACAAGACAAGGAAGCCCAATTTCACCACTTCTATTCAATATAGTACTGGAAGTCCTAGCCAGAGCAATCAGACAAGAGACATAAATAAAGGGCATCCAAATTGGTAAAGTGGAAGTCAAATTGTTGTTACTTGCTGATGATATGATTATATCCCTAGAAAACCCTGAAGGCTCATCCAAAAAGCTCCTAGAACTGATAAATGAGTTTGGTAAAGTTTCCGGATATGAAATTAATGTACACAAATCAGTAGCACTGCTATATATCAATAACAACAAAGCTGAGAATCAAATCAAGAATTCAACCCCTTTTACAACAGCTGCAAAAAAAAATTACTTAGGAATATGCCTAACCCAGGAGATAAAAGACATCTGCAAGGAAAACTACAAAACACTGCTAAACGAAATCATAGATAACAAAAACAACTGGAAACACATCTCATGCTCCTGGAGGGGTGGAATCAATATTACAAAAATGATCATACTGCCAAAGGCAATCTATAAATTCAATGCAATTCCTATGAAAACACCATCATCATTCTTCACAGAAGTAGAAAAACAAAATCCTAAAATTTACAAGGAACCAGAAAAGAACTAGCACAGCCAAACCAAGACTAAGCAAAAAGAACAAATCTGGAGGCATCACATTACCCAACTTCAAACTATACTATAAGGCCATAGTCACCAAAATAGCATGGTACTGGCATAAAAATAGGCACATAGACAAATGAAACAGAATAGAGAACCCAGAAACAAAGCCAAACAGTCAACTTATCTTTGACAAAGCAAACAAAAGCATAAAGTGGGGGAAGGACACCTTCTTCAAAAGCTGGTGCTGGGATAATTGGCAAGCCACATGTAGAAGAATGAAACTGGATCCTCATCTCTCACTTCATACAAATATCACTCAAAATGGACCAAAGATTTAAATCTAAGACCTAATACCATAAAAATTATAGAAGATAATATCACAAAAACTCTTCTAGACATTGCCTTATTAGGCAAAGACTTCATGACCAAGAACCCAAAAGCAAATGCAACAAAACAACGATAAACAGATGGGACTTAATAAAATTAAAAAGCTTCTGCACAACAAAAGAAAGAATCAGCAGACAACCCACAGAGTGGAAGAAAATCTTCGCAAACTATACATCTGACAAAGGACTAATATCCAGAATCTACAAGGAACTCAAACAAACTAGCAAGAAAAAACAATCCCATCAAAAAGTGGGCTAAGGACATGAATAGACAATTCTCAAAAAAAGATATACAAATGGACAACAAACATATGAAAAAATGCTCAATATCACTGATTATCAGGAAAATGCAAATCAAAACCACAATGCAAATACCATTTTGCTCCTGCAAGAATGGCCATAATCAAAAAATCAAAAAATGATAGATGTTGGTGTGGATGTGGTGAAAAGGAAACGCTTTTACACTGCTGGTGGGAATTTAAACTAATGTGGAGATTCCCTAAAGAACTGAAAGTAGATCTACCATTTGATCCAGCAATCCTACTACTGGCTACCTACCCAGAGGAAAAAAAAGTCAGTATACAAAAAAAAAAAAAAAAATTGCACACAAATGTTTATAGCAGCACAATTCACAATTGCAAAATATGAAATCAGCCCAAATGCCCATCAATCAGTGAGTAGATAAAGAAAATGTGAACATATATATATATGATATATATATATATATAGAATATATATATATGATATATATATATATAGAATATATATATATGGAATATATATATAGAATATATATATATGGAATATATATATATAGAATATATATATATATAGAATATATATATATGTATTATACACACACACCGTGGAATACTAATGAGCCATAAAAAGAAATGAAATAATGGCATTCACAGCAACCTGGATGGAATTGGAGACTATTATTCTAAATGAAGTAACTCAGGAATGGAAAACCAAGCATCGTATGATCTCACTCATGGGAAAGGAGCTAAGCTAGGAGTATGTAAATGTATAAGAACAATACAATGAACTTTGGGAGCTGTGGGAGAAAGAGTGAGAGAGGGGTGAGGCAGGGTACAGTGTACACTGCTAGGGTGATAGGTGCACCAAAACCACAGAAATCACCACTAAAGAACTTATCCGTGTAACCAAATACCACCTGTACCCCAAAAACCTATTGAAATTAAAAAATAATAAAATGCTTTAAAGAATAGTATAAAAATAGCCTAATATTACTCTTGAAAACAGAGGTAAAAATCTAATATAAATAATAGCAAACTGGATCCAGCAAAATAAAATATCATGACCAATTTGAGTTTATCTCAGAAACACAAGGTTAATCTAACATTATAAAATCAACTAAATATTAAAAATAAAAATTATAAAATCATATTAATAGATGATAGTAAATAGATATAGTAAAATATTCATGATAAATATTCTGAGCAAAATCACAGTAAAAAAAAAACATTATTATTTAACATGATAAAGGATAACTACCAAAAAAAGTTAAACATCATATATAAAGGTGACACACTGAAAATTTTCCCTGTGGGATCAGGAAAAAGAAAAATGATCAGCCTGAATCAGACATTCCCAGGATTTCTTAGTTATTTTCAAATTTATTCTACTATACAATATAGATTCTGTATTGCAACCTGTTCTCATTTATATATGATAAGAGAATGTCCTGTATTCTTCAAGTTAATGGCCTACTTAAACTTTATATCTAAATAGAAGATAGAGTTCTATAATTACATTACATACCATAGGTTCTGTCTCCTTGGGAGGTCTATCCAGGGGAGGAATGTACCACTGAAAGCAAAGTTCTTTGTTTGAAGCTTGTGTTACCATTTCTATTGGCATTATGTCCATACAAGATGAGCTTGAAACAGGCTTAAAGGATAAAATGGATTGTAGGGAACTATCACGATACAACTAGGGAACAAACAAAAACATCAGTTTAATTACTGGTAATAAATTTGTTACATATACAAAACAAATTATTTTGCTATATTGAAAAACTTTGGAATTGTATCAGCTTGTTTTATAGAGGTAAATCTTAACACTATCCCTGGCTTACTACAGAGCAGGTTCTCCTATAATATGCTGGCCAGCACTGTGGCTCACATCTGTAATCCCAGCACTTTGGGAGGCTGAGGTGGATGTATCACATGGTCAGGAGTTCAAGACCATTTTGGCCAACATGGCAAAACCCCATCTCTACTAAAAAAATACAAAAATTAAGCAGGCACGGTGGTGTGCACCTGTAATCCCAGCTACTCAAGAGGCTGAGGAGAATTGCTTGAACCCGGGTGGTAGAAGTTGCAGTGAGCCAAGATCATGCCACTGCACTCCAGCCTGGGCAACATAGCAAGACTCCATCTCAAAAAATATATATGTCTGCTTCAGACCAGGGGACTCAACAAATCTTCTCCACTCTGGTGAGTCTTATAGGGTGAAGATCTAGCAGGGAAAATGTCCATGCCACCATTTCAGTCTCAAAATCACCACTATTTCTAGGAACTCCTATCTGGTTTCTGGTTTATTCACTGGTAAATAAGTTGTGGTTACAACTTATTACTGTATCTATTTTTCCAATAGTATTTTTTTACAATGCCATTTGGAAAATGAGACACATTTTGCTCCAAAGGCTAAAATCCATTGCTCTAAAACCCACTGGCTCTGAAAAGTTAAAATCCTCCTCTCCTTAAATGAATGTGGCTGATTTGCAAGTTTGGTCCTTGGTGAATATGCGCCCAGCTTCTTCTATGCAATTTGGTCACTGAATGAGGAACCTTCAAAGAGGTAGAAATGTACAGAATGTAATTGGCAATTTGGTAAATTTCTTAATTAGTGGTTTAAGGTAGTTGAAAAAGCAAAGCATGGTTGCTACTGATCAACAAAACAGCAGGCTAGCCATAGAGATAATGATAGTAAAAACAATATTTCAAGTCTAAAAAGGACCTTCTTCAATGAAGTGCAAACTACTTTCAAAATTAACTTCTTGTTATTTCCAAGATTATGGTATGGCAGCTGGAAAGTGGTCCCTCTACTTCAGTCTTTTTGATATCTAAGGCCTGTAAAGGTTTGATGACCAAGGTGTATTTGTCAGTGGCCAGAAAGAAATGCCTGGTGTTTCTATAAGACTTTGTCCCTCCCATTATTTCTAAGCCTATTCAAGATGTAATATGACTGTGAATGTTAAGTCTTCAAAATACAATAAAAAGGGAAATAAAAACACTGACCTTTCAAGTTGTCTACTGATAAAAGATGTTTTGACTGAAAGGTAATATTAAATGTGAAAAGTTTTCTAAATGTCTAAAAACAATCATCCTTGCTTCTAAAAGCATGACCAAAATACACAATAAGCAAGATTAGCAGGGATCAACAATAATTTGTAAGTGCTTAATTAAGAGTAATTTTATGTCAGTTTATCACACACAAAAAAATCAAGTAAATAATTGATTCTAAAGTAATTTCTTAAATTTCTTCATATCTGAGTGGTTTTTCAGAGGTTCTAACAATGATTTTAGCAAATAATTCATATTCAATAACTAGATAAGTATTGAAAAGTAAGAATACCTTTTATTTCAATATGTGCATTATTAGGACAGTAGTCTAATAATGATAAATTATAAACATGTCAATATCAAAATAGGTATTTAATTTTCCATTACCTTTCAAATACTATAATATGTAGTTGCTAAGAGGATTCATTACGTACACTAATTGATGAATTATACACTGAGTAGTTTTATTCTATTTTCTTAATTCTTTGAAAGAAATAAAACAACAGGCCTACCAGGAGAACCATGGCTTGCCACAGTCCTATAAACAATAAAGCAGCTCACACTAGTCAGACACTTAACCTTACACTGATGGTCACAGGCCACAGTCCTAGTATGAATAACTCAGCATTATGCACAATTTTAATCATATTCTTTTGGAGGAATTTTTAATGCCACTGGTTTCCACCTTTGTTTTTCCATAACCAAGCTCCAATAGACTTGACAACATGCAGAATCACACAACTGAGGAGCACAACATGGAGCAATGATTGTTCTGGAAAGGCATCTACTTCTTTGTGGGGGAAAGTAGGTTTAAGTTTCGAATTATGGAACGAGTTTGATTGAAATAGCCTCCTGAGTGATTAAAGGTTCAAACATGTTATTATAAAAATCAGCCAAGCTTGGAGTTTGTATATATTAAAACCAGCTAAAAGACTTTATGCTCGTTAGCTGTCTACCCCAGTGAAACGAACACATGATGAGGTGGCTTGCACCTGTCAGGCAAGAGATGGTGATCTCCAGAGCTGATTATCCTGGGGAGTGTTACACTAATTATATCAAAAAGAGCAAACAGGATGAAACAACTCTTTGATAACACTGCTGCCATTAGAAAAGTCACATGCATTTACAATGTACTCAAGCTTGAATGTTTAGAGCATAATCTTTAGGAAATGGGTAATGATAGACTGCCCTTAAAACTGCCCTTAAAAATGTTCAAGCAGAGCTCCTTTTAGAACAGTATTTAAGAAATCACACATATTAGTTTCCTAACTTTTGTATAACATTCACAAGAACAGATCAATTGAAACTATTGTTCCCAGTCTTGCTGTCCTCTGCTCCCTACCCCAAAACACATGAGGTATCTGTGACACCTGACAGTAATCCTCAAAGATACTCAGTTCCCGGGAGGGGTGAATCCGAATCTGGTGTTAGATGGCAATGATTTCATTCTACTCCCACTGTGCCCTTCCATGTGCAGAGCCAGACATTAACATGCCTTTCCTGGACTGTTCACCTCCTCACTCACTCCTTCCCATGGGGAATTGTTACTTGATTGGTGAATTTGGGAAAAAGAATTTGGGGCCTGCATATTTCTGCTCTTTCTTCCTGGGTGTAAAATGTTTGCAGGAAGTGAACACTCTCTGCTCCTCATGCAACAGATTTTAAGGAGCCTGTCCCCACGTGAGGAGCCTGAAATGAACCAGTAATATGAAGCCAGATTGGTAAATCAGTCTACTTTGGTATTCATTGCTAGGAAGATCATTTCACCAATAAATATAAACCACATCCTATAATATCAACTTCATGACTCATAAAGATGAGAATTTTTTTAATCCCAATCTGTTTTACTCTTTCCTCTTATTCCTGAATGACTCAAAGTCTAGGCACAGAATGGGGCTGCTGAGCATTGGGAATGCCACGATATCTTAGTATCTGGGAAGAGAGGAGAAGTGGTCTGAAAAATCTTCCAGTGTGCTTTCAATACGCTGCATGGAGGGCCACTGCATAATCCCAGCTGAGAATTATTTCTTTAATTGGACTCTTAAAACTATCCTAATAGGTCTTTCTACTACTTTAAAAACTTGCAATTTATTAACAGTCATCTGACTGTCTTGAGAAGAGAAGGAATGTTCAAAAGAGTGATTTTTTAAAAAGTACAATTATCTACCCAAAACATAAGGTTGCTAATTTCTAGTGGGATAAGATGAGTGAGGGTCACCATTCTGAAACAAGCCATTTTCAGTTCTCTGGGAACTTCTCTGGGAGAGGTGGCAACAGCAATATGAACATATATGGGAAAATATACAGCTATAAAAATTGAAGAGTTCAATGGTAGTCTAAAGTAGAGATAATTCAAAATAAATTCATGATTTTTTTTCTAGTTTTGAAAGGATTCTGTACAACTTATTCATTTCACAAATATGTGTTGGAAGCTTACAATATGCTATGTCCACTTGAGTGTTCTACAAGGTCTCAAATTCTGTATCTACAAAGAAGAAAAATGTGCTCATCCTCCTGCCTCCCCTGTCTGTGCTAATGATGTCACCATGCATTAGTGATCACACATAGATGTTCCAAATTGTACAAGAGCTCTAGTCATTTCCTCTTCTCTTTCCATCTCCAAAGAGTCATAAAACTGTTTTTGTTGTTGTTGTTTTCAACTTTACTTAAGCAAGTATCTTTTATAGCCATCTCTTCCTTTCCATTCTTGTGGTGATAAGCTTCATGGCTTCATCATCTCTCTCTTAAATAATTTACTTTTCATCTATACTTTGCCAATCAACCCTATCGGGGGGACTGAAAGTAAAACTAAGACATATTAATGTTCACATTATTTCTGCTAGTATTAATCCTGCCATTTTCTCTTAAAAAGCATCTCTAAAATAAAGTAGCTTTCTTTTTGAGACAAAGTCTCATTCTGTGGCCCAGACTGGAGTGCAGATCTCGGATCATTGCAACCTCCACCTCCTGAGTTCAAGTGATTCTCCTGCCTCAGCCTCCTGAGTAGCTAGGATTACAGGCACCCGCCACAACACATGGCTAATTTTTGTGTTTTTAGTAGAGACAGGGTTTTACCATGCTGGCCAGGCTGATCTCAAACTCCTGACCTCAGGTGATCCACACACCTCAGCCTCCCAAAGTGCTGGGATTACAGGCATAAGCCACCGAGCCCAGCCTAAAGTAATTTTCTTCTGTTTTAACTCTATCACTGTTTCTCTACTAAAGCCCCAAAACTATATGTACAGGGACTATGCTTTATCCATCATTTCTTTCCACTAAGAGTGTCTCTGGCACACATTAGGTATTCAACATAGGTTAGTTGAATACCAAATTTCAAATACATATTATTTTAAAATAAAATCCTTTATTTTTTCAGTATCTTTCAACACATTCATTTTGAAAGTTCATCCAAACTACTATTATTCAAGACTTTAGTAGCTTTAATTTTTTAAAAATCTCCATTTATATTCCTCTTTTTACGTCTCTACAATTAGTACCTTAAAAAATTTCCATATTACATATCTTGGGAAAATGTATCCAATTTAGTAACACTTTTCCAAATAAAAAGTCTTCACATGTTTATTTTTTTAAAAAATGTTACCTCTATTATTTATTCACACCCATAGTGAATAATTTTTATTACACATTTAAAACCAAAGTACAGAAATTGAGCACAGATTTAGAAACTCTCAGTGCAGTTTTCTTATAGGGTGATGATACTGATATTTGTGTAACTTCTTGGCAAAAATGGCTGCTTGAGAAAGATGCTGTTTTGTACAGGAATATAGACACTTCTGAGACATTTTAAAAGACTGGTGAGAACAAGACTGAACCATTGAAATGTGAACTGTCCTAAAATGTTTGGTGTCCTATCCACATGGTAACATGGGAATGACCCTTCCCCAGAACCTGAGGGAACTAGAAATCTTTGTGCCAACATGAAAGTTAATGTGCTTCCTTCTGAAATATGAGGCTGATTCTAAGAAGTTTTATGTAAATACATGATGTTTAAAAATGTTACCTTGGCTGATGATTCATGTAAGCCTTTTTCTGAAAGAGGGGGATTTTCCAGACAAAGAAGTTCTTTTGGAAATTCATCAATTGAAGAAGAAGAATACAGCTGTAAGAATTTTTTAAGGAAAAAATGCACTTCTTTCTGGCGCAAAATCAACTCAGAGTTGTAAAGGGATGTGAGAAGTGTATCATCTGGCAAAGAAATTCCAGAAACTGTTGTTGCGGATGCTTAAGAAAGAAAAATACCTTAGTTTAGGTTCATGTTAGAAAACAGGATGATCTCGATATTGTTAGCATTTGCTCACTAACCATTATCTTTACATATTCCCACCCCCGCTAGAGGCTGCCAACTACCCTTCTCTGTTTTAGAACTTATACACTAATGGAATTGTTTCTTGCCATGGAAGAGAACATTTCAGGCCAGGCGCAGCGGCTCATGCATGAATCCCGGCACTTTGGGAGGCTAAGGTGGTTGGATCACCTGAGGTCAGGAGTTTGAGACCAGACTAGCCAAAATAGCAAAACCCTGTCTCTGCTAAAAATATAAAAAATAGCTGGGTGTAGTGGTGCGTGCCTGTAATCCCAGCTACTCAGGAGCCTGAGGCAGGAGAATCACCTGAACTTGGGAGGCAGCTGTTGCAGTGAGCCAAGATCACACCACTGTACTCCAGCCTGAGTGACAAAGCAAGACTCTGTCTCAAAATAAAAAAAAAAAAGAAAAAGAAAATTTGAGAGGCACATGAGGATAATGCTTAGTTTTAGGTATTAACAATGATGCCATACCTATTTTCTTTTGGGTTCCCCCGAAATAGATCCTAAAGAATTTGTAGATAGTTTATTTGAAAAGTAATTTCAAGAAGCACAAGTGAGAGAATGGGCAAAGCGTGACAGAGAAAAGAAAAAAGCCAGTAAGGGTAAGTAAATGAGTGGGCTACCGCATTGGTTAGTGAGGGCTCAGTCCCACTGGGGACTTTCTGACAAAGTTGGCATGTTTATTTAGGAGCTCCCTTCCTCAATAGCTAAAAATTACTCCTGGGTCTGTGGAAACCCTGCCTGCAGGCTGGTCAGACCTCAGTAGCTTCAAAGAAAGCCCAGGGCAGAAAAGCAGTAAGACATGGCACTTATGGTGGGAAGTGCCGGCAGGTGAATTCAGAGGTGAGCAGAGTGGCTGGGGGGCAAGGGATCACCAGGGCTGGCTGCACTGACTTGTCCATGTCCTTTCCCTCTGAACCTCCCTTGCTCTAGCCCCCATCACCATGAACCTTTTTGCCCTGATACCTTTCTGATGGCTTGTTAGCTCCTGGTAACTGTGCTCAGCAACCCTGTGACTCAGCCTATTTGTGCTGCTGGTTTCCCCATCACTGTGCCCTGGGTCAAACTGCCTTTTCTGACTGTTTGCACTGATGGGCAACACTGGATCACCAACATCATGAGCACAGATAAAACATAACAATGTCACACAATCATAAGAAGGACTGATGTGAAGCAGAACTTATTAGTTTTCCTGGATATTCTTTAGATAGCACCAATGCTTTTTAAAAAAACCTCCATGGAATTAATATCCCATCTAAAGTCATGCATCTCTTCCCTTTGACATACCAGCTACTGGACCACTCTTTCTCTAAAGCCAAAATGTCATCTTGCTCATTTTATAAACAGTCACTTTGGAATCACTAGTTCTTAACTGCTTTGAGCCATGGACTACTTTGGCAGTCATCTTGGAAAGCCTCTGGATGCCTCCTTATCATAATATTTTTAAATATATGAAATAATATATATAGAATTTCTACAGAAACCAATTACACTGAAATACTCTTCCATCCAAGGATGCATGTATCCCAGGTTACGAACCCATTAAATTTTCATCTTCTGATGACAGTCACTCAGAAAGATGTCAGAAGTATCTTATAATTCTCAACAAGAGACATGACTTAAACAGGAATTAGAAAGAAATATGTTCTCTTGTAACACATCAAAAACCTACCTAACAGTTTGCTGAGATTATTAATCCTCTGAAGGTGAATATAGTAGCGCAGTAGAAGGATCCATGTAATATCTACTTTGGTCTGAGTCTTTTTTCTACCATCTGTGCTGTCATACGCATCATCATTTTGGTACAAAAATGTACAGGAAGTCTGGAAGATGACTTGGTAGTTATCTGAAAGCGAAAAAATTTTTTTCTAATACAATGTTATGTTTTTCTTGAAAAACAATCACGAACAGAAAAAAAGCACAGCTCATAAAGGAAAGGCTGACACATGATACTATGTTCAATTGAAAAGTCTTTTGTATCACACAGACACCAAACACCAAGTTAAGAGACCAACCACAGACTGAGAAAAGATATTTAAAATATATTTATGAATTATCTTTCTCTAATATGTGTAAACACCTTGCACCAATCAACAAACAAATGTCAAGCAACACAATTTCAACAGGCAATTCATAGGAAAAGTGGGCAAAGAATATCAATACACAATTCACAGAAAAGTAAACCAAAATGACCAAAACTTTTAGCATCACTAAACATTATAGAAATGCAAATTAAAATGAAATACAATTTCACATCCCTTAGGAACTGATAGACACCAAAATCTGAAAATAATAAATATTGGTAATAATGTGAAGAAATTGGAATGTTCACATGTTACTTGAGAGGACAACTATTTAGAAAGGAATTTGGCAAGATCTAAGAAAACTGAAAACACAGATACCCCTATATGTGTACCAAGAGTTTTGCACAGTGTTTTTTGCAACATTAAAAAAAGGAAATGTTAAAATATAAACAGGAGTCTAATCATTTGAAGCCATTTAAAATGAATGAATTAGATCTATAAGGGAGAAAATGTAGTGTGGAGTCTCACTATATTTATAGTCTTATGATATTCAAATCCCAGATGTACACTCACTAGTGTGTGACCTTGAATCTCTCTGTGCCTTGGGCCTCTCTGGGCTTTTGATTTTCTGACTTTTACTTTTCTTTAAAATGGGCAATATAAGGTCGATGATAGATAGATCCTGAAAACATACAGAGTTAACAACAGGTTCCAGGTGATAGGTAGTATGATACCATTTATGTAAGTTTGAAAACAATATTATTTGTATCATTTATGTATATATATATATACAGACACATATATAATATTTAATTAGAATAGTAGTTGTCTCTGGGAAGCAAAAAAAGGAAGATAAATAGAATCTTCTATGGTTCACGGTCCATGCAGGTTTTCTAGAATAACATGAATCCCCATGTACTCACCACCCACCTTGGAATACAAATTCCCAGTACTTTGGGAGCATCTTATAAGCCTCTCTTTAATCCCACTTCACTCTCGCTGCCTGAGCTCATGTCCCAGAAATAATCACTATTCAAAATTTTGTGTTGCTAATCCCATTATCTGTCCTTGACTCTTTAAACATATACATTACGTAACATGTAATAAATAAAACATTGTTAACTTTATCTTTTTAGAACTTTGTAGGAAGAGAATCATATTGCATGCATTTATCTATGGTTTTCTTTTTCCTTTAAACACTATTCTTTGAAAATTCAGCCAGGCTAATGCAGGTAGCTGTTATTCACTGATATTTTTTGTTGTTATATAGTATTTCAGTATACTGAAATTTTGTATATCTATTTATAAACATATAATGTATATATCTATTCTACCATTGATGGACATGTGATTTCTTTCTAATTTTGTTTTGTTTTATTTTGCTTTTTACTGTTATGAACAAGTCTGCTATAAATATTTGAGTACATATTGTCTGGTGTATATGTGCACTAACCTTCTGGATGTGGAATTACTAGGTTGTTCTTTTTTAGGTGTCTTTTAACCAATCTTACCTTTTGTTCTTTCATATAAATTTTGGCATCAGATTGTCAAATTCCACAAAATGAAACCTATTACTGAAACTACATTAAATCTATCAATCATTTTTAGAATACTTGGCATTTATCAATACCAAGCCTTCTTAACTATAAACACGGTATGTTTTCTTATCTCTTTCAATGAAATTTTATAATTTGTTTCACAACTTTGGTTAGATTAACCCCTAGAGGTCTTATATATTTTTGTAGCTACTGCAATAACATCTTTTTGAAATACATTTCCTGTTAAAAATGTATAGAAATAAAATCTTACATTCAACAACCTTGCTAAATATTTTTATTGCCTATACTTCTCAGGAAGTGTCTATGTGAATACTCTGTAGTGAATGATGGCTTTTTTCTTCTTTCCTATTCTTTGTACTTCTTATTTCTTCTTATATTATTGTGCAGGGTAGGACTTCCAGAACAATCATGAATCAAAGTAACAATAGCATTTTCTTACTCTTGATTTTAAAGAGAATAGTTTTGCATCTGAATATTGATTATAAATACAGTAGGCATGTTTTCCCACTTGTAGCTTTTTCAAATTAATATTTTTTTAAATTCCCAGTTTTAGAATCATAAATGGTTGCTGAATTTTATTGAATTTTTCTGTACCTATTTGAGATGATTATTATTTTTCTCTTTTAATCTGTTAAAGTAGTGACACTATTGAACAGATTTTCTGATGTTGAATTACATTTGCATTTCTGGAAATAATCCAATTTGACATGAGGTATCTTTTAATATGCTGCTGATTTTCATCAAACATTTACATAATCAAAAATAAAATTCCCTCTCCCAGAGACAAGCATTTTTAAACATTTGTACTTTAGTTCTTCTAGTAGTTCGTTCCAGCTCTTAAAATAATTTCCTTATAGCATTTTCCTAAATTACCAGTTTTAGAAAATAGGTCTGGTGACTTTTTCTGTGACAGATGAAATATTAGCTCATAAAACCATTCCTCTTCACTTCAAAACGTTTATAGTGATATCACCATCTTCAGTTCCCCTATTTATATATATATATCAACAATGTTCTAAAAGTGCTTTCTGGTCCCACCAAATACAGGTAATATCTCCTGATGTCGTCCTTTGTATTCTAATAGTACCTGCACCCCTTTACTGGCTTCTCCTTGCCGGGTTTTCTGTTTCCAAAGTCGGTAACATTTATATTCTGTTCTATAACCATAATAAACCCTTCACTGTTTTGTCAATAAATTGAAAATCAATAAATAATACTTACATTATTATGATGGTATAGGAATTGTTTACTTCAATATGACCAAATTACTTTCACTAAGGGTCACTGTCAAAACTTGTGACTCACAAAAGATAAAGTTCTCAGCACAAAGGTCAATGGACTGTTCTTACTCACACCAGTCTCTTAACCATGTCATATTCTAATTCACTACATATTTGGACCATGAATTCTTAAAGATTACTTTCCCCTGGAATTTCTGAATGTCTTTTCTTCCTTGTTGAGAGAGGTAATATTTGCACTCTTCACCACATTCCTAATATCATCTAGCTGTTTCATCATTCTATCCGCTGCCTAGAATTCATTCCTGCTACTGATGACATGCTTGAATCACAAACTTGCCACTCCAATTTGTACTGACATGTCTAGACTGCTGGATAGCAGGCAACACTGAGAGCCCTTTCTTCTTTTCCTCTCTTCCTCCCTTCCTTTCTTTTTTCTGTATTACATCTACTTCTTTCTTCATTTGCAACCCTGTGTGCTGGGGTGTATTCTCAAGTAACTTTATTTTTAAAAAGTAACTTTATTTTTAAAAGGTTCACCAAAAGTAAACCACTGGAGTCTTTACAAGGCCCTTGTACTTGATTGGTGAAACATACAATTTTAGTTGATACTCATTTTCTGTGGATTTCTAGCATTTACTATTGCTGGTGAGAAGCCTGATGCTAGTCAAACTCTCTCCCTCTCCCTCTCTTCTCCCCACAGAGTGGACAATTGATTTACTACAGATGTAACACCGCAGTATTGTGACGGATAGTTTTTTTTTTTTCAATGCATGTTTCTGGGTTAATTATATACCCAAACAGAAAAATGTTAATCTTGATTTCAGCCTCACACTCATAACAAAAATAGATTTTGGGGTGAACTACAGATCTAAATGTGAAAGATTTCAAATGATAAAAACATAGAAGGGTATCTTTATGATTTTTTGTTTAGGAAAAGATTTCTAAAACTGAACACAAAAAGCATGCAAACCATAAAAACGATTTATTAATTGGGCATAAAAATTATAAACTTTGGATAGTTAAAAGAAATTACTACTAAATAAAAAGGTAAAACACAGAATGGGAAAAGATATTTGCAATACATATACTCTACCAAAGGGTTATATCCAGAGTACATCAAGAATGTCTCCATCTCTCTAAGCCAAAGACAGAAAACTCCCAGGAAAAATGGGCATGGTTTTAGAACAAGTTCACCCCAAAAAACTATGCAAAAGCCAATATACCATATATAATAGTGTTCAATCTCTTTTGCGATCAAAATATATTTTAAATTAAGACCACTTTGGAGATCTTCTTGGCAATACCCACTAAAGCTGAAAACATGTATATTTTATGATCAGCAATTCCACTCCTTGGCATATTATAAAAACACATACGTCTGTGCACAAAATTCATAGCAGCATTATTCATAACCCCAAATGTTTATCAACAGTAGACTGGACACTAAATTTGTGATTAATCATTGTGCTATTATGCCCAATGATTAATCACACAAACAGGAGGGTAAATAGAAGTCAGACAAAAAAGAATACAAACTGTATTATTTCACTTATATAAAATTCAAAAGCTGCCCAAAATAATTTATCTGTTATAAATCAGAAGGAAGAGAGGTTGGAAGGGAACATGATGTAGCTTCGGAAGCACTGGTCTTACTCTATTCCTTGACCTAGTGATGGCTACATGGGTGTTTCCCTTGTGATAATTAATGAAGCTGTAAATTCACGATTTGTGGGTATTTGGGCAGTGGGAGGGTGGGACAGAGTTTTGCTCTTGTTGCCCAGGCTGGAGTGTGATGGCACATTCTCAGCTCATTCCAACCTCTGCCTCCTGGGTCCAAGCAATTCTCCTGCCTTAGTCTCCTGAGTAGCTGGGATTACATGCACCTGCCCCCATGCCTGCTAAATTTTTTTTTTTTTTTTTTGAGACAGAGTTTCACTATTGTTGCCCAGGCTGGAGTGTAGTGGCATGATCTTGGCTCACTGCAACCTCTGTCTCTGGGGTTCAAATGATTCTCCTGCCTCA